CAATCATGGAAATATAACATTTAAAGCAGGACTATCCTGTGACCCTCCTAACATTCTGCATGCATCATAATAGATAATAACTAATGTTGGGAATGAAAAAAAGAGAAAAATTATTAATATATTCATTTATTTTGGAAGCTATTGACATATGTTGGATAGAACCACAGATTTCCTGCTGTTTAATGACATTCAGGAGTGTGTTTTCAAGTCCTTAAGCAGAGCTTCTGCAAATTCACGGTCATTTTCATTCTCACCCCTAACTGTGAACATTTAAATACTCCATTTTTTGTATCTCACAACTGTTAAGGTTGTTAAAACAATAAAAATATGAAGAAACTTAAGAAATTGATATAATTTGTTTAGTTGTCCAGATGATATTGCTCTGCGAGCAGGAAAAAAAAAATCTTTGTTACTTTTTGTGACGTTAGAGTCAAACCTGAACCTATCAATTTTTTTTTCTTACTTTGTTTTAAGGCAAATTTTATGAGGGTAATAGCAGTCATTTTAAAGGGTTGCAGTTTGTCCAAATTATTATTATTATTTTTGTTAATTTTTATTTTTTCCATTCGAAACCTCAGCTCAACTGAAAGCACCTGTAGGAATACTGTATGCTTGTCAAGTTGAGGCGATCCAAAATGTAATGACTAACAGATTTTTTTTTCCTTTTTTCTTTTCTTTTTTTTTCTTCTAAGAAAGTTTTCAGGATTGTTAGCAAAATTTTAAGTTAAGGACGTCAAAAAAAACATATTTTTTTGATAGCTTAGAATTTCTACTTGCTCATTTGTGTATTCATCGCTTAGAGGAGACACATGATATAAATATTGTTTTGAGAGTAAGAAATAAATTCTGCTGATCTTGGAAAAGATTTAAGCTTCTCTGGGTTAGCTTTTAGCCATATTGTTTAAAATAAATATTTAAAATAATTCATATAAATATAAAATTTCTGGAAAAATGTACCCCTATACAGTATATAATTATAATCTGCATGTTCATTTTCAATCCGTGCCAACCTGCCTGAGAGAATGTGCAAAAGAGCTGAACTACAGCGTTGGGATATTTTAGTGCTCCATAAGATCAACCATTGTTTATTGGCTGTGTTATTAACTTCAGTATGTTATCCACTCCCTTCTTTGTGTTTAGAAGACGACCAATGTTCCTCCAGGAATCCTGCAAATAAAATAAATCTATCTGTTCATTTTAGGACTCACATCCTAACAGTGAAACCTGCGACCCCAAAAGTGTGAGTCAGGATTTGCCGGGCAAACACAGAGCGGTGTAACAACCCCAAACATTCGACAAAATCCATTTACCTGTGTCCTCACATGTGCGCATGTGCTCTCATGCAGCCACACGGCAGTAGCAGACATGTTCCCCCCTCCGCTCTGTGTTGATGGTGCGTGATTGCCGCAGGGATCGTGAACACTGAAGCATTTATCTTTAAATAACCTCCACCCCTCATCGCTACCGAACAATAGTGAGACGCTTCTAATTTTCTGCAAGATAATGGTAGTCATATTGAGATGAAAAAGGTCAAGGGTTGGCTTGGTGGGGCTGTGATTGGTTCAGAGCGTCACGCTGCCCCTGGAGATAAAACTGAAAGTGATATTTCATTTATAGCATCACCCTTCTAGACTGCAGAGCAATTTTAGGTGATAGCTGCATGAGGGGGGCCCAGTTCTACCTTGATTAGAGTGCATCTCCCAGTCAAACACCAAACAAAAAAATGGCTGCTCTGGTGTCAGCATTTTTCTCTGTTTTGTAATAATCAGATGCATGTGCTGTTAAGTTTCCACATGCTGTTTTTAATATGAAGCAATTCAAATGTCCCCTCACCCCTCCGACCTGCAAAGATTGATGGGTTTGTTATTGCATATGTTTAAGATGCATATTTGCAGTTGAACCTGCCTTTGACCTTCAGCTGCTCATATATTGAATTAGCGACTCCTCTACACTCTGCATTGTGTTGCAAAGGGAAATATATGCTTTGTTCAAGCAGATAGTTATAACAACAACACTCATTGATTTTTCTGAGTTTGCCAGCTTCTAAAGATCTCTGTTCAAAAAGTGCAGTTGTTCTCTATTCTGTGCGTGATTGACCTACGCTGACTCTTTTTTTTTCTCCATTTGTCAGCCTCTGTTTTCTAGTGAGAGCTATATTTAATTCATGCTTTGACCACAATGGCTAGAAAATCACCATCTGATATTCTGTGAATGAATTGTAGACCAAACTATGGCCGACGCGTGTGACATCTAGCACAGATCCTGGAGGATGCAAATAATCATTTAAAAGCACTGAAACAAATCACACAACAAGAAATAATAAATCAATGAAACTTTAATCACACAAACTCTGTCTCTTAATAGATTTGCCCTCTACGCCTACCACAAATTGCACATTCATATCTTATTTATTACTTTGAGCATTATGGAACAACAACAGAAGAGAATCTGGAGTGTTTTTGTGGCATTTTTTTCTGTTTTGTTTTACCTTACATGGCTGCTTTTGCATAATCTCTTTGGCCTAGTTTGTCTTCTTCTTTTTTTATTCCAGCCTGAGGGCCAAATGCATCACAAATTATGCAGTGACCCAAACTGCTTTTCCCAAAGAGTGGTCCAGCCAGTGGGAGTGGCCTCAGCTTGTTGAGGAGGCTGCCCTTTAAGGTCATTACACCGGTCACGTGATAGGCCAGCGGAGCCCCCTGGGCCATATGACAAACCGAGCTGCCAGGCCGAGGTGTGTGTCAGGGGTGTTTTTCCACAAAGCATTCTATAAAAGTGTAACTGGGCTGTATTTGCCCTTTCCTCCTGCTATGCGTTCAGCCAACAGGCCCCTGAAGATCTCTTAAAAAGTGCTGATCCACAGTGCTGGGCTGGTGCTCATGTAATCCTTCTAGCTCTGCTCCACCTCCCTCCCCCTGTTTCTACCATGATCCCACCCTCTGTACCTCCCTTTCCCCTCCTTCACATTCCCTTACTGTCTCCTGCTGATGCTCCGCACTGATCTGAGCGACAAGGTGATGGGATGAGAGGGCTTGTTTGGGCCCCGAGCTAATTAGTACACATTAGAGCATGACTAAATAAACCTTAAGTGCCGCTAATTGCTTGGCAGGGAAAACAATAACCGTGGTACTTGCCCAGAGGCTCTTGGGTAGTGAGGGGGGCTGGGGCACTGGGGACCAGGGGGGCCCTGGCACCGGGCCAGTGCGAAGACACCAGCACCATCAGTCAACTCCCCTCTGCCTCCGTGTTAAAGTCACACACCACTTGGCACTGTCACTACATGCACCATATGCCCCAAACACACCAACCAGAACCTAACACACTCCCCTCACAGCCCTCCCCGGCACAGAGTGAGCCGTACATGACAGGCAGAGACAAGCTCAGTCTGTGTACGGAGCCATAATACATCACTGCATTAATAAACATGAATTAGTAATGGCACAATTACACAGGGTTGTTCTGACATTTACTGGTACAGTAATGGTGTTCTCCTCTCTGCAACCCCCTTTGGCCTGTAGAGAAGAACTGGCAGATCTCAAGACTATCAGACTTTTAGGTGTGGGAGGCTAGAAGGAGCATCATCGAAGCTGATTTTTATTATTTTTATGTTTTCTAACAAATAAGAAAATTGTCCAGCATTACCACAACCAGTCCAGCTTTACTCTGTATGTACGTGTGTGAATGTAACAGGTTGTATGCATTATATGTGTCTCCTAGGTTGCACTCTTGTGTGTGAGAAGAAGTCGTTTGAACAGCCTGTGCTGCCTACCAGATCTCCTGCGGCCTAGAGGTAAGTTCAACATCAACCAAACCCTTCCAGACTCAATCTCAGAGTTTCACTGTTCAATAATTTTTTTTATAATTCTATCCTGCGTAAAGTATCTAAGGCACTACTTAGGATTTACTTATATAACAATAGTCATAAAAAAAGAGCAGTACCTGCCTGAGTTCAACATCCATAGTTCAATAACTGACTTAGAATATGGGTCACAAGCACTCAGCTTAAACTGTTTACCATTAAACGCTGTCAAGATGCCAAAGCTAGAAAGAAAAAATTGTGTTGAAATACTCCCCCTTGTTTTTTTTTACACTTTCTACACTCATTTAGAATAATTTCTTATGAGTTGAGGTTTAATTTCCCCCAAAGTGACAGGGGTGAAGCGTGCCGTGAGCTCAGTGTTTTACATGTTTGCCCCGCCACTCTCTCATCCTTCTGCTCTCTTGTAAACCGGTAGCTTCTCGTTCGCGCTGTCAGTCTTGGCAGTGTTTTACTGCTTTCCCAGGGGACTCGTGTGCTTTTGTTAGCTTTTTCTGTGAACACACAAAGACTAATTGGTTGATTAGTTCAGGTTGACTGGCCTGTTAATTGAAAAGTAATTTAGATTTGATGTGTCTAATGAAGATCCTAATTTATGCTTTGGCACTCATCCAAGGGTTTGTTTTTTAAGAGCGGGAATCAAACAAAAAGGATGAAAGGAAACAAGGAAACGATTCAGTGTCTCAGAGCTGCTTTGATGGCTCATGAATTAAATCAGTGTAAGGTGATTACGCTAAAGATTAAACACTTCAGTGTTAAGCCCATTGAAATTGAATTGATATTAACATCAATAAGAAACACCCGCCTTGTTGTGTCCACTCATTTATCCGTATATCTTGAATGTATTTGTCCATCTTTCTGTATGTTTAGATGGACTTTGCCTTGAGTGTCAAAGGCATTAAAGACAAATCTAAAAGAGATATCATGCTAAAGTTAACACATAAATAGAAATGTTGTGATGGAAAGCAATAGCTTTAATTCTGTTTGACTACACTGTGGCTTGAAGTGACCTGAGTTTTAAACAACTGTTTGACGTATGGCATTTAGAGCCAAGTATGTAGAGCAGGTAAGACACTTCTAAACATTCTAGTTCTGACATTTGTTTTCCTGGTGTCTGGGTCAGATTTTTCAGACTTTTTCAACACGTCTCCCTTTGTTTCTCCGCCATTTTTGTAACTCATATGCTTGAGCTTAAAGGGATATTCCGGCTTAAATTTAAGTTATGGTCAAACACACCGTAACACTGAGTTAGACACCCCCCTCGAGAGATGAATGTTGCAGACTGCTTGCTTCTCTAGTTATAACTTCAGCAACGACCGCACAATAGCAATACACAGCGGTCTACATCTCCACACACAAACCTCAACCAAAAAGCCACAAATAATGCTCAGAACAGCACATAAGTACATATAGGGTCCCAGGGTACTAGCCATTAAACATATTTTTAGCTTTGCCTGGTTTCCTCAGCAAAGAGACTAAACACACAGAGTGCAAATGTTCTTCCTGGAGCTGCGAGATTCCGCTGCACTCTGTGATCGACTCGTCAGGGCTCCCCCACAAACAAGCGGCTGCTGGAGGAGAGTGGGTGAGTTGTGTTTGGTCTCTTTGCTAAAGAAATTAGGCAAAGCTAAAAATATGTTTGATGGCTAGTACTATGGCTGGGACCCCATATGTTCTGAGCATTATTTGTGGCTATAGAGCGGCATTTTGGTTGAGTTTTGCGCGTGGAGACCTAGACCGCTGTGTATTGCTATTGTGCGGTCAATACTAAACTTGGTATAACTAGAGAAGCAAGCAGACGTCAGCATTCACATCTCGAGGGGGTGTCTAACTCAGTGTTATGATGTGTTTAACTATGACTTAAATTTATGCCGGAATATCCCTTTAATGCAGCTTGTGCTGTGATATATCTTCTTGTCTTTACTCAGATAAGTTGGTCACCTCCAGCTAAGCTCAGTTTGTTTTAAAACTGGTGGTTTATGCCATGTCTAGAGTCAGGGGCTGTTTCCCACTCAATAGTGTTAATAGAACTGTTGCATGTTATGCACCTCATTGGACAAAAAGATTAAAAACCCACAGTAGTCTTCTCGTGTTGTTTCTCCAGTTTCAAAAATAAATAAATAAACTGCCAGATTAGCATATTCCTATAAACACTGTTACTGCCGTAAACTTAGTGTTACTATAGTGTTGCATTAGGCATCCTCACAGGTTGTTTAACAGTTTATTAGGCAAAACCCTCTAAGAGCACTTCATATTCCCGGTATACGATGTCCATTCACAGACTGCATGTTTGCACCGGTGAATGAACATGAACAGTGTAGGCCTCTTTTTTTTGTCTCTGCATCTCAAGTGCGCTGTAGGTTGATGAGTGTTGAGATTATCCTCCACAGTTGCGAGGAATCAATCGTCCCCAAAATCCACCATTATGCAGTTAAATCACATTAAAATCAATCAATAGAAACTTGATTTCCCCTTTGCATTTGGAGGTGATCCCAAGAGCTTTCTGACTCCTCCTCCTGACAAGCACAGCTTGGGGCCTTGAAGTGAACATCCGTTGCTTTCGTTGAGCGGTCCAGTCAGTTTTCTCCTTAGAAAAAAAAAAAAAAAAAATCAAGAAAATTCAAAAAATTTAATTCAATCCAGTAAATCTTAAAAAATGTCAACAACATCCCAAAGCAAGCTTTTTCCCCAACAGCAAAAATCAAGAATTTGAATTCAGCGTTGGTTTTGGATTATTCCATCCTTTTACTTCATCCATGAATGTTTATATCCAGGGTGTAGCTACTTGTCTCCCTCTTGGTCTTTGAGTTTTTCAGGGAATTTCCAGTTTTGATTTTACTGCAGCAGCTGAACTCATGACCCAGCATCTTTAGCGAGGCCTTCTCAGTCCCATGATGTCACCAAGCTTCTGTCGATGAGCTTGAGTTCCTCCTGATGTAATAGAAACAAAGAAAAATACAATGAAATTAGTGACAAAATGAGGAGAACAGATGTTTTCATCATGCACTTTATTACTCTGCCCACCTCATGACACACTCAGAGCCCTTAACACTCGCACCTGCATACAATCACAAAAACAATGTACCTGACAGTGCAACACAGCAGGCCAAACAAGTGCAGGCATTAGCGACCTCAGATGTGGGAATCACCCCCTTTGTTACCCGCATATACATTTCTTCGCACTATTTCTCCATCCGTCAATTACTCGCATACTTAAAGCCGTAGTCATTAGTCGCCCTCACCCTCCCTCCCTTAATGAGAAAGCAATTACCATGAGCTTCTCCCCAGTCCCAGTGGCCTGGCAGCGCTGTCCGAAAACCTGCCTCCCCACCTGCCTTCAGCTCGGAAGCTGCTTCGCTCTCAGATTCGCTTCTCTTCCCTTGTACCTCTTCTCCCTTTCACCGTGGCTGCGGACTCTCTCTCTTTCTCCATCCTCTCTGCAGCCCTCTCTCTTTCGCTCCTCCCATCTCTGAGCTCTAGGCTGCTCGGGGTTTTAGACGGATCACTCTCACAATGGTTGATCAATACAGGTATTGATCCACTGGCAAAATGTTTATAAAATCATTCTGGGCAGCTGCAGTGCAGTGGGGAGGGGAGGCGGGGCGATGAGAGGGCCAGCATGCCATGCCATTCGCCTGTGAAAGAGCCAGCACGACCCGATTGGCTGTCGGTCTACCCGCCTTGCCAGGAAGAGGGCTGGCATAGTCTGCGTTTCTTGATCATTGTTGCTCGGTACACCACAGCCCTCCCTGGCTTACGCTGCGATTCTTTCCAGACCAACAAAGCAGAGTGCGGCTGTTTAACCTTTTCGCTGCTCGACGTTGCGGTGGTACCCGCTCCCCTCCTCTTGCATCGGCCAAGACATTAATTTACATAAATTAGCAAGCTGCGGGCAATCCCAGTCTAATGATCCGCTGTCGTTTCATCTCCCCCTTACTCCCCTATCTTAACGAGAAAACACTCCCTCTTGCTAATTCTGCGTCGGTTCTTCCCTATCCACATGCCCACCTCTAACATCGTGCCCATTTTACCAGTATGGATGAACACTCATACACACCACAAATTCAAAGTATGAACAAATATAGGGGATATGCTCATATGCTGGCAATGTGCAAAGGAATTATAAAAGAACAGCTACCTCAGTCATGTCTCTGCTGAACTGTCGTCTGGGAACAGGGAGCAGTCTGGGGACAAGACTTCCCCCTGGCTCCAGTCTTTGTTTCTCTTTACGGGGATCATTAGCAACATTAGCGGCAGCGCACCAACCACAGCAGGCAGCAGAAAACACTCTCTACTCTACTTCACTTGGGAATGCTACTAGCAGGCCAGCTAACACAAATACTCGAACACTTAAATGCACTTCTACAAGCTCGCAGATTCAAGTGGCATTGTTTATCAAAGGCTTTGTAATCCTGGGAGGAGATTTGGCTTATGTTTTGTTGAGTGATGATTTATGAGGAGTGTCTTTACACAGAGAAGATAATTGCAATGTGGAGAGGAGTGTGGTGTAACTTTTTCCAGAATCACAACTCTTGTTGAACCAGACTAACATCTGTCAGCCATAAGGCCCCGACAGCCTCTGTGACCCAGAGTCAACCTCGCCCCTCTGGGGTGTGTGTGGCTTCGTCTGTCCCCCCCTTTCTTTGCTGGCACCATACTCCCGACCCAGATGCCCAGATGTCAGCCCACACCACAGAGTCTAACCCATCCTCTATCCAAGAATACTGTCAAGCTATTTATGACGGTAGCTGTTTGAGTGTTGCATTCTTTTTAATTAGATACAGGACTCGCCTCTGGATCTTCTGAGGTCTGATCCAGTTCAGTAAACAAACATGGCATCCCAGGAATACGATCAGCACTCATGTAAACACGCAGACAGACAGACAGACACATGGCTCCAGCGGACACATGTAGGAAGTGTCACTCACACATACGCTGCCGAGCGGTAATTACTCTAACACATCCAGAACTGGCCACAGCCCATTCATTACCATAACATGTTGTAATGAAGTTTAATCCCTCATCATGTTGTCTGTGGTCGGGGAGCACTGTGTGGCTCCAGATGTCTCACAGGCTGTCTCTCTTTACTGTAGCACTCAACAGAAGACATGACATTCAGTACCAAACTCTGGCCTATGTGCCTTTTTTTTCTAATCTCGGCTTTTCTTTCCTCCTGTAAATCCAGCACAGCCTCATCTATCTTTGTTTCTATCCCTCTCTCTTTTCCTGTTTCCCCCCTCCTCATACCTCAGCATCTCTAAGAGAGCGTGCTACTTATTTCATCTGAATGCAGCGGCGTCTCAAAAGCGTGGCCCTCGTTTCAGCATGGGCACGTAACCCATCTCTTTTGTTTTTTTTTCCCTTCCCCTCCTGCTCCTTCATTGGAAGACATTTTGTTCTCACTCTGATGCCATTATGTCAATCACTGCAGACATGTGGTGATGTGTGAACGCAGCTGCGAAAAGGAGTCTTGGCAAGCAGTGATTGTTAGACACAGGGGAGTTTCAATCTGTTAATGTAAAGAGGAGCCTATGTGCCTTTTTTCTTGCATATGATTGTCATCTTTCAGTCCTTGTGTAAACATGGAAGTTTGGAGGTTTTAATCCGTGTTAGCGCGCAGAATATGTCAGAATCCCCTTGCCTCGACTGGATGACAATACAGAGCATAAACAAGTAGCAGGTTGCTCCCACTGTTGTATGAATGGGAAGAGTCGGGCCACAAGCTTCCTGTATCTTTTTCTCTGCCAGCCATCCTCTTTGTACAGCAGTTGCAGTTAATGCAGCCGCTGGATTGGCCTCTTTCCTTGCTCTGCTTTTATTGATTTCAGCCAGACACAGAGACAGACAGAAAGAAAGGGCCTTTTCAGGAAGAAGTTAAATGGTCAAGTAGCGGGCGGAGAGTGGCTTTCACCACTTTATTGACGAGGTGGAAAAATGTCACTATTATGGAGGCCCTTGCAGCAGATAGCGAGCTGATTGGATGAGTGCCCCCGGGTCAGAGTGGAGCACGTTTCCCCTGCAGCCAAACGAGAGCAAATAAAAGGGCAGAGGAATCCGCTTGAACCGGAGGTGAGGTTTCTCTCTTCCAGGCCTCTCTTTGGGCAACATTTCTTTGGGTGTAGAAGGCAAGGTACTCGGAGTCTGGACTGAGGGCTGATCTCTGCTCCCGTCTTCCCTCTGAACTCTCCTCTCAAAGCATGCTGGGTTTGCTTGTAACATCCCCTACCTCTAAGGACAACCACATCTTCCATGTTACACACAGGAGTGGAACTGATGTGGAGGTTACAGTTAGATAATCTGAGGCAAAAATGTAACAGTGTTCTGAATTTGCAGTTACAGCTTTAAATGTCATTTTTTTTGCCATTAAACACAATCTCACAATTTTCCAATCAGCATAGTAAACATTAAGACCAATGTTAAGACCACAAAGAAAACTCTCATCTAACATTGTATTAATTCAATATTGAACTGTCTCAACAGTTGGCCTCTCTTACTCTGATGGTCATTTGACAAGTATCTGTTTCCCTGGTTACCAAGGTGACCCCATCCAGCTAAGGATGAAACTGGAGCAGAAAGTCAGCACCTTAAAGAACAGTACATGCAAGCGGCTAATGATACCTTTTTTTTCCACTTCATTTCATTTCATATACTTTAATTGTCCCCGTAGGAAAATTTGTCAACCACTAGTTTACGGTTTCTCAGCCACATGCACTTTCACTAACCTAATACAGACGACTGATAGTCAACTTCTATTTAACCATCGGGATGAGCTCATGCCATTGGAACAGTGTGACAGAAAATGTTAGCGGTTTTGAAAGTGCAAGTTTTTCAAACTACCTTGACTGGCCCGTGCCTTCATTTATCTCAGTCGTGACGCCGTCGTTGAGACTTTTAGAAAGTTTTGCGTGTAAATGAACTTCTCAGGAATTAAATATTCTATGAAGGCAGGTGCACTCCCGGTTCACAAAATTAAAAAGGATGTCAGAATTTTGATTGGAGTCGGAGAAAGACAAAGATTGATGACTGCAGATCAGAAGACAAAAAGAAAAGCCTGGCAGAAATGTTCTCCTCTGAAAGTAGTCTAAAAATAAAATCAGGCTTTGGATCTGAGTTATGGGACTCTTAAGGCCCCCTCACAGGGACAGAGTTGCGAGTCCTTACTAATGGCTGAGGGTTCAGATAGAAGCCACTCTCGGGCCCTGCCTTCTGACGTCAATCAGTCTAATTAGCCCGGTGCATCATCTGGCTGGCCTCTCCTTGCAGCAAAAGACAGACCTCAGGAAAGGTCAGCGTGCCACAGCGGAGACAGAGCAGTGCTTAATCAGAGGTGAAATGGTTTCTTTTACAAATTGATTCCAGTTTGAGTCAGACAACAGAGGTTTGTGTTGAGCCACTTGAAGGCGGCTTTTAAGAGGGCCTTTAATTCAAGAACTTAACAAATACTAACTGTTCTGGTGACATCTGGATCGGGGCCCCAAGAGCAGCGGGTCATATGAAAGATCTGTTTGTTTCTCTATCTTTTCTCTTTTTTCCTCGCTGTTTATCTCTTTATCTGCAGCTCTGCATGGGGCGCAAAATCATTCACATGTGGCTACAAATACTCCAAACTGAGAAAATTCATGCAAACTCCACGGGAAACTTTGTCTCCCCACATAGCAAGAAAAAAAACAAAAAATGAAGAACCCCTTTTTGCCAATGTTGACACAAAACAGTACGAAATAAATATTTTGTCTTCCCCTTCACAAAGTAAACTAAGTACCATTAACACTGGACCCCTGAGGCGTTTTATATTTTTACACCCTCTTTAAAACTCTTTTTACAACAGCCTTGTCACAGCCATGTATACATATGAGGGAACATCTGAGACTGCCCACACCCACACACACACACACATGCACTCACACATCTACTGCACACTGCACATTCACCAACTCCCTTATGCTGAATGCATAATATATGTAATGAAATAATGTTTCCAGTGGGGATGGTTGTAGCTGGGGGATGGAGACGTGGAGTGAATATCAATGTGGCTCCCCCCCAGACTCCCTGGTTCAATTGGTGTGATGGTGGGGGGTAAATGAATATGTGGGAGTGAGAGAAGCTTTATCCTTTCGCCCAAAGCTACAGTGAGAAGTCCACGCAGAAAGAGGAGGGGGTTCCGCGCTGGCCCACTCAGTCATTATGAACTTCAGATTCCAAGTGCTGGTGTGTCCTCTGTTGTCCCTTACATCCTGTGTCCCGGATGGGTCTGAATCCTTGTAGTGAGACCTCTGCTGCAAGGAACAACTGTTGGCTATAGCAACTCTTTTGCTATATGATGACAATATTCTGTACCAGGACTGGGCAATATGGCAAAAAAAAAGACAGTCTGATCTTGATTATTACCACAATTTTTATTTATTTTTTTAAACTGCAAGTTTTAAAGCATCTGTACTAAAAACTACAGAAACTACATATTAGCCCAACATTTTATTAACATACAAAGTAAATAACAAAGCAAATTAAATAGGATTAACTTAGAAAAATATGAAAAAACATTTTAACCCAACGGTACAACAAATGTAGATAAATATTACACTGAACTAGTTTACAGTCCTGAGTGTTTTTGCAGGTATGCAAGATCCAAAATTAACAAATCGTCCCCTCAGGGATAATGAAGACGCCTCAAAATGTAAACATTAGATGATGTAAACGTAGATGATACGATTGATGCTGCTTTGGTCTGGTGGCTGCACTGCTACTTGTAGCTAAACTGCTAATGCTACTTGTGCCGTCAGCAGTGGCAGGCTGTGCAGACTCTGCTCGCATTTTCATGCTTTCCGCGTAATCACTCAGAAGTACTTCTTTAAATGATTAAACAGATCTGTTGCGTTGCCGTTTTTTGAGGGCACCGACTGCAGACATACCATGCACATCGGCTTTATTACTCAACGTCAAATCGGAGATACCCAAACCACCGCCACGCAACCGACGTTAAACAACTTTTCTTCTCAATAATGACATCTTAGGAGGATGATTCATAGTCATGGCTGACATCTATTTTGCTGCTCTCAGCTCCGCGTTTAGCTCCCTGTTCAGTAATTCTGTTTACTTCCCCCGTTTACTTCTGCGGCAACTAACCGAAGTGAGCAGAAAATGCTCTACTCTGATTGGCTGTTGTGACGCACATTTCCGCCATGTTTGATCGAGTAAATATGCTCACAGCTGATCACCGTGATCGCACTGAAATTTATCACGATTATTAATCACGACCATATAATCGCCCAGTCCTATTCTGTACCTCTCATACTTTACATACAAAAATATGAACACTGATGTATTCCCGGCAACTCTATCCTCCCTATGTTGGACTATAATATACCCCTGATACTATTTACATGTGTTTAACCTCCTTTTAACCGCAGCCTCTCCTGGAAATCTCAATGAAAATCACCAGAAAGACGGATTACATTTTCCCCTGTGCCTCACCTTGACTGACTCAAGTGAGCTCATCTGTTCCTCCTTGTCAGAGTGAAGATGCTGTGTCTCTGTCTGCCAGCGCTTTGATGTTTAAAACATTACCATTAATAATGTTTTCAGCATCAAAATTAATTGCTTTGCTACTGTGTCCTGCTCCCTTCATCCTGAGCTGAAGCGTGCATAAATCAAGACTTAACTACCTTTTGTCTTGAAATTTTGAGGTCAGGAATTTAGGGTGAGACCAAACTCGACCGTGGCCAAGTGGAGTAAGCTCTGTTTGCGTTTCTCTGTGTGCTGCACCTGTAGTACATGGGTTTGAAATCCTCATGTGTTGAAACATGTGTTATTTAAGTTGAGGAATAATCGAGAATGTTCAAACGGGACACAAAGTAGTTTCTGAACGGCGCTTAAGAATGTGAGTTTGTGCAAGGTCCGAAGGGATTTAGGGTACTTTTCCACAACCTCTATTTAACTATAATGATGAAACCTGAGCAAAAGATGCCGCATGATCTGAAAAAGCTTGAACTTTTGCCCACATAACTAGAATACCATTCAGTCATGGCTACTTCTTTTTATGACAAAAGTTGAAATATTGGAGCTGTCAGAGAGTTAGCTTTGGGATGTCGTTCATTGCAGGATGTGGTGACTTTTGAATTAGCTTGGATTAGACGCTAGAGAAGTATTTTTGTGACTTCCAGATGTTCTGTTATCTATAATTCCCAGCTGTGTTCTGAGAGGTTAAATGAGCTGGAAAGTTTCTGTCCAAGCTCTGTTATCCTCATCAAACTCAGGGAAATGTAATTAGTGCCTTTTTGAGCTCACATCGCCTAGCAACTCCTTCCTAAATAAACAATAAAAAATCGCCCTCATCTTTTTTTGTTTTTTTTTATGTAGCCACACCTCATATCTGCCAAGCACCTCCCCTTGAGTGGCTCTGGCCCTGCCCGGTCTCTGGGGCCCCCGCAATGTGAAGACAGAGTGAGGAATGTGTGAAGCATCCAAAGAAACATGAACTGCTATTTTCCCACAAGTATGAAAAAACAGAGGCCATGGCTGTGGAATCTTTCTGACGCAATCAGCTGGTGGGATGGCTGCTGCACGGAGGGGATTTGGACACAGGGGCTCAGGTCAGGCTGTTGTTAAAGCTGTAGTCTTAGGACTTAAAGACCAGATCTGCTGACCTGGCTAAAACCTGCAGCAGGAGATAGCAAGAGCTGCCGGATGGCCCCATTTGGGAGCACTCCATCGCTCCTGCTATTTCATTTTTAACAGGCATCTGTGGGGCAGCTTATTAATTGTTTGTTGGCCGAAGCATCATTAAAAAAACAGACAGCAGGGCAGCTTTTACAGAGATGTGAGAGGAAGCAGGGAGCTGGGACAGGAGAGAGGATCACTGAAGCGGCCCTCAGAGGCCCCTCCTCGAGAACCAGATGATTACCGCGTACGGTTTCCTCTGTAATTCTTCATACATTAAGAAACAGGGTTGAAAGGAATTCCCCAACACAAAAACAGAGCAAACTTCAATAAGCCGTTCTTTCTTTCGTTCTTTTCCTGATCTAATTATCGCTACCCCCATAATCGCTGTTATATTCATCATAGTGCTCAGTATTTATAGGGTCTGTTTTCATCATAGTAATAATGTCACTCTGGAATTCCCATGCAGAGAGAGGAGAGAGACATACATCACTCAGTATATAGAGGAAGCAGCTGGAGATGGGGAGGGCTGCTGCATGAATCCAAGAATCCTTGATGTTAGGAGACCAGAACAACAGGACGCTTCACTAAACTTCCCCTTCTTGTTTTGTGTGGGCTTGTACCTGCTTCTGGACTTTGGAGACCCCGGAGGTCGACCCCTGTACCCTGAACCTTTTACAGAGCTTGGACAGACAGAGTCCTTGAACTGAGATGGACCGATTAGGTTCATTATATTTCTGTCACATATGGTTTTTGACAAAATCTGAAAACCTTTCTTTTTTCTGTCTTTCTTTCTTTAGTTATTTACTTCTCTTTCTTTTTATTTCTTTCTCTCTCTTTTTCTTTCTTTCTTGTCTTTTCTTTTCTTTCTGCCTTTCGTTCTGTCTTTCTTTCTATCTTTCTTTCTTCCTTTTCTTTCTTTCGGTCTTTCTTTCTTTCCTTAGTCATTTATTTCTCTTTCTTTTTCTTTCTTTCTCTCTCTCTTTTTCTTTCTTTCTTGGCTTTCCTTTTCTTTTCTTTCTGCCTTTCTTTCTTTCCTTAGTTATTTATTTCTCTTTCTTTCTTTTTAATTCTTTCTCTCTCTTTTTCTTTCTTTCTTGTCTTTCTTTTCTTCCTTTCTTTCTGCCTTTCTTTCTGTCTTTCTTTCTTTTCTTCCTTTCTTTCTGTCTTTATTTTCTATCTATCTATCTATCTATCTATCTATCTATCTATCTATCTATCTATCTATCTATCTATCTATCTATCTACTTTCTTTCTTTCTTTCTCACCATCCTCCACTCTCTCCCTCTCCCTTCATCCTTCCATTTTTCCTCTCTTCCTCTCTCAGCTCTCTTCATTTCTAGAGGACTCCTCTGCCTCTTATTCTCTGCCTCTCCCCCCGATGTTGCTCCCAGTATTTGGGTATATATTTAACACCCACATGTGAGGCCTGGTGAAAGTGCCTGGGGAATGGAAAGGAAAACAAGCATGCCCTCTCTCCCGGCCCTTTAGTGCTGGTCTGCTATAAATACCTCCGGGTGGCGCGCCAGTTCCAGCACCAGTGGCATGGGAACCTCTCTCCCTCCTCTGGTCCACTGCTTGGCCACTCAAGTCCAGTCTGGGAAGGCTTAAGCAGGCAGGTTTTACTAAAGGGTGGGAGGCTATAATGTGTGCTGAGTGCAGGGAAAGAAATATGAAAGGCTTTCTATGGCAGGGGTGGTCTTCCTGTGTGTTTTGTCTACTTCTCTGAGGAGCATCCCTGTGTCTTCTCCTTTTCTCCGGCTCTGTCATCTCCCTTTTCAAAAGACTTCATGTATACTGCATTTATGCTGTTTTGCTTTATGAAGATTGTATGAATATGTGCTTTTCAAACTGTTAAAAAAGAGAGATCCCCTTTTCTTCACTGCGGTGAAGCGTTTGTTATGTTACTCCCCCAAAAATTGATTTAGACTTTTCAAAGGTTTGTACTTCACAGTGCTGTCTCCCTGTGTCGATGCACGACAAGCTCAGCTCATATTTTCAGAGTTTGAGGTAATAGTTTTAAACTGACAGACTAAACATCTCCCTCCCCGGCTGTTCCACTTCTACAGAGTAAAGAGTTTTATGTGCACAAACAGAAACACACACTGACCTAGTCTAATAATTATTTATTTTTGGTTTGTTGGGGTTCAGGTGGAATTTTAAGACATTTTTACGGGGAAACTTTCTTTATTTTAAACTCTTGGTTAATTGCCACCTTATTGCTGTACAGTGGTATGTAACAGTATGAAAATTCTACATCACAGTTATAGTGACCAAAATATTCTCAGTTTTCGGTATAATCGTGGTATTTTTGAAAATGTATTTAAAGACATTGATTGTGGTATTTTTGATGCTTTTAACTAGTGCTAAACATTACCTTGTTTTCATCATTTCATCATATCTAGACAGGATTACCGTCTTCAACTAAGCATCCCCTCGACATTCCTACAAAACCCCAAATATGCCCATACTTCCGACTTGGTCCTCTTAGAGAGCTGATGGATTTCTTCAAGGTTGTCGTCTCCTCCTTCGGCCATGATTCCATTTCAAACTTAACAGAAAGTTTAAATGCGAATTGTAGGCTACACAGTTCACCTGCGCGGCTACTTCAGGAGACTCAGATGAAGATGGGATGAATAACACAGGGTTACCCCTACATGCAATTGATCCTGATGCACCGCCATAGCTAAATAAGAGCAGCCACACCTTAAGAATGAGTTTTTTTATATCAGTAGGGTATACATACGTGCAGTGCACTGCAGAGCGCGCGCACCTAGTATTAGCATTAGCCAGTTATTGTTGATGATCTCACAGCTGATTCATTACCTCTACTCACACACACACCAGTTTTTTAAATGAAAACAGTAATAGTTATCAACATTTTTATCAAGATTTACCATTACACCAGCTACCATCCCTAATGCCAGGTAGGGTGACCATATTCTGAATCCCCAAAAAGAGGACACGGCTAGCCAGGGGCGGAGTCACGTAGTCGCGCATAGTTAATTTTGAGAGTTTTTTCGGGTCGGCTCAAATGTTTTTTTACACGCTTCTGACTCAGTTCTGACAAACTCATAGTTCCATGCAAAACCCCGGACATTTAAAGGATTTTATAAACTCCCCCGGACAAGGCCAGACAAGGCCCCCCCAAAAAGAAGACATGTCCGGGTAAAAGAGGACATATGGTCACCCTACAGGTAGACAACACCTTTGTGCTTAATATCACAGTATATCCTGTAGATTCAGTGATTTCAGTCACTCGATTAAAAAAAAAACAGGTTTTGTGCCTGTTCCAGTGTCAGCTCAAAGACGGTACTCTACTTCAAAGCTTTTGGTCATTTAACACACCGAGTCTACAGATTAAATATCTCTGTTGCTCTTTTTCTTCCCTCACACCTCTTACCATTCTCCCTGTGTCTCTTTTCCTCTACCTCTCTTAATACTCTCCTTTCCCCTCTCCCTCCCCTACAAGGCTCACTTGTTATTTTTTCGTACAAGGTCCTGTAATTAAGTTTGACATAAGCACAGGGATTAAATATGCGGTTGAGGAGGGAGAGAAAGGGGCTCTGTTACAATCTCAAGGCCAGCTGTAAAATGGAACCAGATTGCGACACTTGGAGTTGGAAAGTTTGGGAAAGGTGCCGAGACTGGAGCTGTGTTCAACAGACGACAGGATCTAAGTCTTTCTCCAGCCTCAGAGCGGCCAAAAGACTACTGAGAGTCCGGCCAAAACCCCTAATATTAAAAATACTTAGGCAGAAGACTAACACTTGGTGCGGGCCAATGATCGTTTTCTTATTCAGCTGAAAGGCTGCAATCTCCTCCAGCTGCACATTAACTATTGTCTGTCCAACCAGATGACTGAGGCCCCTGCCTTAGAGACTGCAAAGTTCCTACTTATCAGCATATTTACAGTCTGTATGTATGAAAAGAAGGCTGACCGCAAATCTTTACTTTGTTATAAACAGTTAGAGTGAAATCCAGCTGGAAACTTAGAGGGCGAAGAAACAAAGGTAACCAAATCAACAAACAAAGATAAGGAGTTAGACTAATGGTCTTTTACTGGCTTTAAATATGGAAAAGTGATCGCACAGTGCAGCAGGAAGAAAATATTCCACATTCTATCATTCAATCACTGACACCAAATATAGAAATATAGGCTAAGATCAGCCCCCCAGTGCACAGAGCGTGTCGATAGGATTTTCTTCTGTTCTGAACTCTGAGAGGTCTCACATGGAACTTTGCATTCTTAAATAACTCTGGCAAAATGCTTTAATCTTAATGAGTCTGAACAGCAAATCTCTCATCTGCAGCAAAAAGGATTAGGAACGCAGAAAAAAAAGAGAAAAAAAGAGGCTGCCGTTCCACTTTGATGAATTGTGTTTAGAAAATCCCTGGGCATGAAGTTCCCCCCAAATGAACAAAGCGTTAGGCGAGAAACGGATGCTTTTAAACAACACAACTTATCGGAGAAAAACAGAACATGAATTTAAGTGAAAATACAAAAGCAGAGCTGATTCGACTCCTCTGCAAAAATGATAAAAGTGACTAACTCTTTTTCCTCAATCCACTTAGCTGCCTTTGGAATCAAACCTGGAGTAGCTTTGCACAAATTACTTGCATTGTGTTTTTCCGTGCCTCATCAGTGGCGTGTTTATTTATTCGGCATGATGCATTCCTCCTTTGTTAAGCATAAATAGATGAATTCATAATTTTTTTGCCCCCCTTGGTAGAAGCACTTGAAATGGGCTGTGTAGTGATGAAGAAGGGAGTTGATGAACACAGACAGTTGAGTGCTACAAGGTGTTGCGTTCAAGACCACAAAAACTCTGCTTTTCCAGTCGAGTTTCCTGTGGTTTTTCTTCATTGCTTCAAGGAGCACAACTTTTCCACCGAGTGTGAAATTGCAGTTTGTTAAGTATGCCATTATGCGGAGGTGTTTATTTGTATTTGATTAATACATTATTGATAATATGTTAATGTAATCCAAATCAAAGCAGTTCAGCGTTTACTTGATTAATTATTACTCTGTGGTGTAATTTCCCCAAACAGTCTCTGTGAGTGCGAGGGGTTAGAGCAGTAAGCCTCTGGCTAGTTCAGACTGCTCAAACTACAAAGAGCCTCTCTGCACTGGGACCTGCTCTTGGTTCCCCTTTTCCAACCCCCCACCCACCTCCCCACATGCCTTCAGGCCTTTTAGAAAACTACTCTGGCTGATTTTCACTGTATTTATTTTACCTTTCTTTCCAAATCAGCGCTCCCCTTTGTTTCCAGTAATGGACTTTGGACAGAGATATCACTAATGCAGGCCAGACATACGATCCATATTAATGTGAAAAAACCAGCATGTGTAAATATCTCAGAGAAACTAACAAGCCTATCACCTGGATATGTTCCTGCAAAGAAATCCTTTTTCTTCCCTCTTCAGGATCTTGTGTGCGCAGACTTGTGTGATAAATATTATCATGCACTTGACCTATATTGATCCCCTAGTAGGATGTGTACCCACTCCAACACATTGAGCCTAAACATCTGGTCACCAGAGTGCTGCTTTGAATGACAGATAACATCTGGGAAGTCTGCTGCTATCACAGGAAACAATGTTCTTATCCCCCCCCCCACTCCCCACTCCCCGCCCCTCGATCCCTCCTCGATACCCCCCCACCCCCTGTCCCCCTTTTCCCCATGTCCCGCTCATAAGCACATCCCTCTCATTGATTTCCCATTAACCCCTTCCAGATTGTGTGTATCTGCCCACCCAGACACACAGACACCAATGGATTGATTACCAGCATAATGGCATCACTATGGCTGCCCACTCTCATCAGTCTGGCTGGTCCAGTCCATGTCCATGTCCACCTGGCTGCTCTGTGTTCCCTCAGAATTTGCATTTTCACTGTATTTCTACTTCTCCTTCCTCTTACTTTCTACTACCTGTTTTCTTTTTCTCCCTTTCCCCTTATTGTTTTTGTTTTTATTGTTTTCCTCTACCCCACTTTATACCCCTCCCCAACGTCTTGTCTTCCTCATCCTGTGTCCCCACTAGGGCTGGGCGACAAAACGATAACGATATATCGAAAATTAATTTCCTTTAATATCAATGAAAACCTGGTCAATATGCTTTTTGATAACTGGCATCCTGCCATGTTTTGGTAGACTATACGAACAGCCAATGAAAAGGGGAGTTGCTCCAGGTCCGCTTCATGCTGAACCAATCATGTACTGAATTAGAACCAAGTAGCAAACAACTGCGTAGTAGCAGTCTACACGCAAACATAGCAAAATTAAATGAGTGCTACCCCCGGCAGAAATGCAGATGAAGGCTCAACAGATGATGACATTGTCGACTACACTGGCACGAAAACGTTGGTGGTGTGGAGGTATTTATTATTTTTTTTAGGTCGGACATGAAGCAGAGATATGTGCGCTGCAAATGATGTCGAGTACATGTTCTCGCAAAGTCGGGGAATACCTCAAATCTTTTTCACCACTGGAAGCAGCGCCATGCGGCAGAGCAAGGGCAACGCAAAAGGAACAAACCCTGAGCTGAGAAAGGAGCCCATGGCGCCTGTGCAGCTGAAACAGCCAACCATTCGGTCCACTTTCTCTAGCGCAACGCCTTACGACAAAACGAGACACAAAGACCTCACAGATGCAGTAGATTATTGTACTGCAAAAGACATGCGACCAATAAGCACTGTTAAATTTCATTTTTTTGATATCGTGATATATATCTATATCGACTGATATGAAAAAAAAATGTATGGTAATAAACTTTTTTCCCATATCGCCCAGCCTTAGTCCCCACCATCTTCATCCTCATCTTCTCAGCTCCTTGTTAATGTCCACCTGGCATCGAGCCTCAGGTCACACATGTAGAAAGCCGAGTACTCAATGTTCCTATTTGCTTTCACAATACTGTGACATAACATGAGTGTGTGTATGTGTGTCCGCGCTGCTATAGTATCTGACTATATGAGCTTGCAGGTATGTGCTGATAAGTGTCATCGAGGACAGCAGCTCTCAGCTGAGATGAACTGTTGTCGACATATTTAGTTGCATCAACACAGCAGAGCAACTTTAACTTCAATTACTCTGAAAACAGACTCACTTTAAAAAAAAACTGAGCATTGCCATCATAATAGAGTAGAAAATTAAACTTCTCTCAGTGTGTGGGCTGCTATACTGATGTGTGCATATGTTTATATATTTTTTTCTTTTGTTGTTGAGCGGGCTGTCTGTTAAAATATATACTTACATGAAAGGATTCCATCATATCTGTTTCACTATGTATTTCCTCCCTTAGTTTGGCAGCTGCTTTGGCGGCAGAGATAAAGTAAATGTGTGTTTGTTAGGTTGTGTTTGTGAGCCACAACGGAGGCAAGTTAGAAAAAGCCCTTCATTTAAGCATGGCGTGCCTCCATCAGTCCTCGTCTCTGATGTACAAAGAGCCCAGAGGAAGGAGCTTCACAGCTGTTTGTAAACTATGAGAACAGGAAAGGTCAACAAAGTAATGCAGTGCGTTTTTTGTAACGCATTTTCATCTCTCTCTGTTCCATAGTGAGACAGCAGGGCTGTGCCCTGCCTCAGTAGTACTGGTGCATTTAAATTACTGTTCTTGCCTGGAGAATAATGGTGGAAGCATAACCCCATTGTATTCTTTGATAAACTCTGGAAAATGCATGCTATAAGCTGAGGAAGAGGCGCGGTTTAAGGGCACAATTGCCTTGCAAATCTACCATGGCAAAGTTTTTCTGAGAGAGAGAGAGAGGGAGGAAGAGAGTGGTGAGAAGAGGGGGAAATGAGGAATTGAGGGTTTGGGGAGAGAGAAAAGGGAGAGAGAGAGAGATGGAGGATGCAGCGTGCAGGGAGTGTAGGGGGGTCTGTGTTGCAGGGACATGTGTTATCTCTGGGTGCAGAGGTCTTTGTTTGCAGGGCAGAGAGGTATAGATTTCCTCTCCATGTCAGCGCCTTTATTTAGGGCTCAGCACAGAGGGGGACAATAGCAAACTAATCCACCTCTGAATCAGGATTAATATTCAAGCCGCAAATATTAATTCACAGCCGAAAGGAGGAAATGCAGAATGTGTCAAAGCGCTCAAACAAATAAAGAACAAAAACAGCCAAAGATCCTTGACCAAAAAATTCCATCCCGAGTCTTTCATAGGAGTGCATTATTTTTACAGGGTCCTCCAGTCTCGTCTCAGCGTTCGGTTTGATTTCTGTATTAATCTTCATAATGATTTTCTATAGAAGAGCGAGAGCTGGGGGAAGCTGAAGAGCTGCATGTTGTTTTTGGCTATTCTCCTCACTAAGCTCTGGATTTAAGATCTGGATTTGAATATTTATGATAGAAAATAATAGAGGTTATAAAAATAAGTCCCTGCAGAGCTGGGCTGTAAGTTATAGGGGTAAGCAATGCCTCCCACATCAAAGACGCCTGGAGTTGTTGGCCAGTCGTCTGATGCCTTTAAAAGCCTATAGCTCTTCAGCTCAGCCCAGCAGAGAGAGACTTTGCCTCTCATGTGATCCAAAGTGTCTCTCACTCTTCATGAACCCCCAAATTTTGTCAAATTTAAAGGTTTTTTTTATCTCAATTTAGTCTTCTCTGCACCCAAACGAGAAAACAAAACTGCCACTGGGGTTAGATCGTTTGACTTGTTTCAAATAAAGTTTCACTTGTTTTTCAGATTGAAACGAGTGACAGTGTCTGCAAGTGACAGGTTTATCACTCCTCTAGTTTCAACATCAGATCACTTGATCTGTGAAAATGTTTTAAACATGCTGGTTTGCATTTGAAACAAATGACACTTTGCCTTCTATTTGATGGATTCTTTTTTTTCATTGGATTCTTAGATGTTAAGACTTAATACCAGACACATGACGGAGATATTTTGGAGAGCTGTGAGAATGAAATCCTCTGTGTTTGAGTGTTTCACTCACAGGGCAGAGCAACCTGTCCCAACTACATGGAAACTGATGTGTGAGAGTGAAAATGCTTGACGTTCCCTGGTTGTGGACTCTTAGTCGTGCGCTTCTGGTCCATTGCTGTCAAAACAGATAAATTGAGAGATTAAATATTTCACCTACCAGTGTGATTTTTTGTCCTAAATAAGCATGAATTTGAAGGGAGAAGAATCAAGTTTTAACAACGGATAAGTGCTTTGTTCAAACAAGCAAGCAAGCATGCGCGTCCACCGCACACCCTTTCAGCACACAAGCACAGTAATCCCACACCAGGGGGGTAGAGGCCTGTTGTATACAAGCCTGAAAAACCATTGTGATGTTCAAAGGGGGCTTCACAGAGGCTCCAACCATTGATAAGGTCTAATGTGATGAGGGACTGTAAACTTCATCTTTTATACATGGCAACATAATGTGAAAGGTCAGCTTATCTTAATCCTCAAATCTGCAGCATCCAGGCCTGTGGCCCCATTTCATGAAGTTAAAGAAATAATCTCAGAGTCCATTCTGAAGACGGCCCCTTATTATCTTCTCCGCAAGGTCCAATCAGAGGATATCATTAGAGTCTTCTATGAATGCACTGTAAGGAATGATTATTTCTCTTTTCTAATCGGCCCCAATCATATCATCGAATCAGCTGGACTGTGTGCTCCTGGTGAGAAGCTTTATTATGTCCAGTGATTAATCATCAAGCACTGCCTTATCCCCCTTAGACACACAGCACAGAGCCGCCGCCGCGGTTCACAGAGGGAAGATGGGAAACATCACCTTCATCAGCACAATGCTTACCTGAGTTTACATACATCATACAGGGTAAAGTCAGATGTGCAGTTTCATGTTTCTGAGACCACTGATTCACTCAGAGGACACTCAGTGGTTGTGCTGCGTTCCAGTTGTACTTGGAAGTCAGAGTGTCCGAGCTCCGAGTCGGAAATTCATCTGGAACACCGCCCTGAAATCAAATAAGTGGTATATGTTGTACTGCCCAACGTCGAACTGTGAACATGGTGCTGTGGTGTTTGTAGAGTAAAATACTGCGTTATGCGTTGTTTACAGCTGGTATAGCTAACAGCAACTGACAATGGCTAACAGTAGACGTCCATCTTGGTTTTCGACTTGTTTACTGGAATGCCGTCAACTTGGGTGTAACGTCATTTTCAGCTTCAACGTCCGACTTCCGAGATAACTGGAACGCAACATTGCATACATCATTGGGCCCATACAGGAAAAGTCAGATGTACTGTATCATGTTTCTGAGACCACTGATTCACTCAGTTTTTGGTAGCGGTGGTTATAAAGTAGCTCAACATTTCCAGTCTTTGCCGACAACTTTAAACATATTGCTGATTTGTTTTACTCCAGAGTTTTGTTTGTTAACTTCTTGATCTTTTCTCTTCAATGGCTGCCAGCAGAATAAGAAATAGCAATGTGTCCTTCAATTTTCCAAATTTCAGAGTCATTAAAAACAGAGCAGTAAAGTTACATTTGCTACTTTATTTAGGGTCAAAAAGGTTATCGTCTTAAGACCAAGTTTGAGCAATTTGTTGTTTAAGGATCCTTTGTTCTCAGCTGAAAGTGTGTCAAATGTAGACAGATGGTGAAATATTTATTCCTTGACTGCGGATCATATTAGAGTGTTATTGTTTGTTTCGTTTTGTATTCCACCCCTAATTTGCCAGTGGTACAGTTTTCTCAGGAAGTCTTACAAACACACATCAACTTTAGCAGAGGTAGACCCCATCGTGTAGCCTTAATTAGAAGGAAATTGTAAACAGACGCATGCCTCTCTCTTACGGATTATCCATACTTTATGACTGAGTGTTTGAAGTTATGGGGGATTCTGAATCAGCACTGCTCTAGCAGTGCTCTTATAGGACATTGTTGTCTTCAATTATTTTCAGTTATATTCCCGTCTGTAAGAGGCAGCAGATCATTTATTATTTAAAGATGCAATCGTTGCTGTTTATCTGGGATTTTTAAAAACCGGGTTATCTTTTGGCGTAGTTTTTTTTTTGATTAAAGGAACAAA